GATGAGTGAGCAGGCCTGCCTGGTGGCCAGGAGGAGGACTGGCACCCGAGAGGGCACGAAGCCATGCCCACCCAGCCCTGCGTAGCATGACCGCTCTGGGAGGGCAGCTCCCGGGGCCCTGGCGGGGCTGCTGACCTACAGCCTAGAAAACGTTCCAGACTGGACTCCCGGCCCTGCAGCTCCATCATGAGGCTCCTCCTGGCGCCCCTCCTGCTGGCTTGGGTGGCTGGCACCACGGCCACTGTGCCTGTGGTCCCCTGGCGAGTGCCGTGCCCCCCACAGTGTGCCTGCCAGATCCGGCCCTGGTACACTCCCCGCTCGTCCTACCGCGAGGCCGCCACCGTGGACTGCAACGACCTGTTTCTGACGGCCGTGCCCCCATCGCTGCCCGTGGGCACCCAGACCCTGCTCCTTCAGAGCAACAGCATCGTGCGCGTGGACCAGAGCGATCTCGGCTACCTGGCCAACCTGACCGAGCTGGACCTGTCTCAGAACAGCTTCGCCGATGCCCGCGACTGCGACTTCCTCGCCCTGCCCCAGCTTCTGAGCCTGCACCTGGAAGAGAACCAGCTGACCCGGCTGGAGGACCACAGCTTCGCGGGGCTGAGCGACCTGCAAGAGCTCTATCTCAACCACAACCAGCTCTACCGCATCGCCCCCCGGGCCTTCGCCGGCCTGGGCAACCTCCTGCGGCTGCACCTCAACTCCAACCTGCTGAGGGCCATCGACAGCCGCTGGTTCGAGATGCTGCCCAACCTGGAGATCCTCATGATCGGCGGAAACAGGGTGGACGCCATCCTGGACATGAACTTCCGGCCGCTGGCCAACCTGCGCAGCCTGGTGTTGGCGGGCATGGACCTGCGGGAGATCTCGGACTACGCCCTGGAGGGCCTGCAGAGCCTGGAGAGCCTGTCCTTCTACGACAACCAGCTGGCCCGGGTGCCCCGGCGGGCGCTGGAGCAGGTGCCCGGCCTCAAGTTCCTGGACCTGAACAAGAACCCGCTGCAGCGCGTGGGCCCGGGGGACTTCGCCAACATGCTGCACCTCAAGGAGCTGGGACTGAACAACATGGAAGAGCTGGTCTCCATCGATAAGTTCGCCCTGGTGAACCTGCCTGAGCTGACCAAGCTGGACATCACCAACAACCCCCGGCTGTCCTTCATCCACCCCCGCGCCTTCCGCCACCTGCCCCAGATGGAGACGCTGATGCTCAACAACAACGCCCTCAGTGCCTTGCACCAGCACACAGTGGAGTCCCTGCCCAACCTGCAGGAGGTGGGTCTCCACGGCAACCCCATCCGCTGCGACTGCATCATCCGCTGGGCCAACGCCACGGGCACCCGCGTCCGCTTCATCGAGCCGCAGTCCACACTGTGCGCCGAGCCGCCAGACCTGCAGCGCCACCCTGTCCGGGAGGTGCCCTTCCGGGAGATGACCGACCACTGCCTGCCCCTCATCTCCCCGCGCAGCTTCCCCCCGAGCCTGCAGGTGGCCAGCGGCGAGAGCCTGGCCCTGCACTGCAGGGCGCTGGCCGAACCGGAGCCCGAGATCTACTGGGTCACTCCAGCCGGGGTGCGACTGACAGCGGCCCGAGCGGGCAGGAGGTACCGGGTGCACCCCGAGGGCACTCTGGAGCTGCAGAGGGTGACGGCGGGAGAGGCAGGGCTGTACACCTGTGTGGCCCAGAACCTGGTGGGGACTGACATGAAGACGGTCAGCGTGCGCGTTGGCCGCGCTCCCCTCCAGCCCGGCAGGGATGAGGGAGCGGGGCTTCAGCTCCGGGTGCAGGAGACACACCCCCACCACATCCTGCTGGCCTGGGTGCCCCCACCCAACACCGTCTCCACCAACCTCACCTGGTCCAGCGCCTCCTCCCTGCGGGGCCGGGGGGCCACTGCTCTGGCCCGTTTGCCCCGGGGCACCCATGGCTTCAGCATCACCCGCCTCCTTCCGGCCACAGAGTACTGGGCCTGCCTGCAAGTGACCTTTGCTGATGCCCACACCCAGCTGGCATGCGTGTGGGCCAGGACTAAGGAGTCCACTCCTTGTCACGGAGCCTTAGGGGACCAGCCTGGGCTCATAGCCACCCTGGCGCTTGCCATCCTCCTGCTGGCAGCTGGGCTGGTGGCCTGCCTTGGCACGGGCCAACGGAGGAAGGGGGTGAGCAGGCGGCCACTCCTTCCAGTCTGGGCTTTCTGGGACTGGAGTGGGCCTTCGGTCCGGGTGGTGTCAGCACCCCTAGTCCTGCCCTGGAATCCAGGGAGGAAGCTGTCGAGAGCCTCAGAAGGAGAAACACGGTTGCCGCCACTGTCTCAAAATTCCTGAAGCGCTGCCTGTCCTCAGCAGTGGGGAGAGGGCTCGGCTGCTTCTCACGGACAGAGAAGCAGCCCGGGCCAGACGGGCCCTCCAGAGAGGAGCCCAGACCCTGGGGCCCAGCAGTAAGGCTGGACGAGCAGGGCTCTGTCGCCCCAGACACAATCCTGCGGCCTCCACAGCGCAGCCCTTGCTTTTGTGGGGAGCTCTCTGCTGCCCTGTGAGGAATGCGCACGCAGAACAGGAAGGAGCCCCAAGAAGCCGCCTGCCTTCCCCGTGGACATGCCCAGAGGCTCCTGGCCTCAGCTTGGATGCCCGCCCCCCACCTGTGTCCAGGGATGCCTCCCCTTCTCTGTACAGTCTGCATTGCTTGCTGTTCCCCCACCTGGGCAAGGGCTGGAGGAGGCTCTTCCTCCCCCACGCTGGGGACCGCTCTCAAAGTGGAAGTCACCCTCCTCTGGCGGGATCTGAAGCCCACTTGGGGAGAAGACGCCCAGGCACTGCCCGTCTCTCAGCACCCAGGCTTGGTGTGATGGGGCTGACTTTCTGTTGGCAATTTTGTACCTTTGTGGAGACAAGTGTCACCTCCCCCAACCCAATTCTCTCTTTTCTCCTGTTTTGTAAAAATAAATAATAACGATAACAATAAGAAGGGGGGGAGACATGAAAGGAGAATAATCCTTTGAAAACTGAACCCAGGGAGAGAATTCATGCACGGCCCTGCCTTTGCTTCAGAACCCTGAGGGTGCCCTGCAGGAGGGGCTAAGGGTGGGGTGGGGTGAGAGAGGAGGGGGAGAAGTGGGGTTTCTTTGTGTTTTTTTCCCTTTCCATTTGGAATCTGGGCCTACCAGGTGTCTCTGGGCCTGTTCCCAGCCCCCGGAAAGTCCCTGTGCCTGTGAGCAGGAGAGCCAGGGGACACTGGAGAGGTTGCCAGTGGCCCAGAGGTAGGGAGAGAGTGCAGGAGGCCAGGAGAGGGGTGGGAGGGAAGAAAAAAAGGAGCAGACAAAACGGAGCTGGAAAGAGAGTGGAAATTTCCATCACCCAACATTGTCACCCCTTCTCTTTCTCAGATAAGCAATTAAAATTGCAAATGCAACATGCCAGCGCATAGGAAGCACTTCCCAGCCTGTTTCTAATTAAACAAACCCAAGAGGCAGAGTCATGCAGAGAATTGCAAATCATCAAGACTGCAAGAACTTTGGCTCTGCAGGGGCAGGCGCGGGAGGGGGTGCGGTGAGGGCAGGCTGGGGAGGGGGCCCATAGGATAGAGAAATTGCTGCATTTATCTCTCCCTTCCATTTTGGTCTAATTTGCAGAGAGCCTGGTTTGCTGTCTCTGTTTTGTTTTGCTTTGTTTTGAACAATTGACATCGTAGGCCCAGTGTGAACAGGAACATCTGTTGAAAGCCAATAGAGCCACTGGCTGCTCAGGGGCAGCCTGGGAGGGGACAGTGCCAGAGCTCCAGGCCAGCAGGCTGCTTCTCCAGCATCCCTTCTGAGATGGGCTTCGGAAAACGGTATGGGTTTCCTGAAAGCGAAACAAAACAAAAGCAACTCCCAGAACCCAGGGATCCCCTGCTGTTACAGGACACATTTGGCGAGGCTGGTGGAAGCAGATGGCATATATGCAGGGGGAAGCCGGGCCAGTGGAGGGACAGGGGCCCCGGTGGAACCTGGGACGAGGCGCTCACTCACGGCTGGCTTCTCTGAAGACTGCAGGCAGCGAAGAGCCCGTCAGAATCCACTGGGGGAGGCTGCTGTTGCTTTCTCTCAAAACTCCCTGCCATCGAGTCGATTCTGACTCGCAGTGGCCCAATTGGTCCAGTAGAACTGCCCCTGTGGGTTTCTGAGGCCATAACTCTTCATGGGAGTCGTGGGCCTCTTCTTTCTCCCAAGGAGTGGCTGGTGGTTTCAAACTGCTGACCATGGTTCTCAGCCCAATGTGTGATCACTACACGAGGAAGTAATAGACCCCAAATTCAAATACATCTGATCAATACCAAACTCCCTGCCATTGCGTTGATGCTGACTCATAGCCACCCTGTGGGGCAGGGTGGAAATGCCCCTGTGAGTTTCTGAGATTAACTCTTTATGGGAACAGACAGCCTCGACTTTCTCCTACAGAATGGCTGGTGGTATCGAACTGCTGACCTTGAGGATCACAGCCGAAGTGGTGACAGCAATGCCACCAGGGCTCCTGAGGACACCTTAGAGATGCCCCTTTATTAACACGACAGAGACAGACCTCTCATCAGATGAGGGAGCCCATCAGCAGGAGGCCATGGCGGTGCCCAGATGTGGGTCTGCAGTGCGCTGGTTCCGTGATAAAGCAGGAGAAACGGGGAATTCGGTACTAAGTCCTGGTGGGTGGCAGGGCAATCCATCACGCACTGCGAAGGCAGGACTAAGGAAGCACTGGATTAGAAAGGCTGATTCGTCCTGCCCCAGCCCTCCCACACACGCCCTGCCCCAACCAGTGGTCAGATATGACTCGACCATTTGAGCCTGGGCCCCAAGTTTACATCAAGGACACACCCGGGCTAGCTGCTGGGGGCGAGACTGGGCAGAGAATCACTTTCTTTCTTTTTTTTTTTTTTTTAGATATTTGAAATACAACTTTATTCTAACGAAAACTGAATGTCACCACTGAATATTGTGATGTGACTGTAGCAGTCTTGTATTCGAATTTCAAGAAAGTAAAATGCATTCCCAAACAGCTAGATATATGGGTTCCCCCCACACACAAAAAAAGAGGTTTTTAACTGCCACACTCACTCCGAAGCCCATTCATCTCCTTCAGCATCCCAAAGATGAGCACACTCTGCTGAGCTCTATAGTAAGAGAGGCAAACACGGCACCACTGACATCACAGGACAGTTGCCTACAAAACTAGACTCTGGCGCCGGGCTCCAGCTTTGTTCTCTCACAGGTCATCATCTTCATCCGGGAGAGCGGCTCTCTGCGCAACCTCAGAATCATGCTCAGACTGGGCTGTCACAGCGGGGTCCATGTCCACCTCTGGTGCGGCGGGAGCAGGCGTGGCCACAAACTCCAAGTTAGGATCGCCAATGAGTTTTCCAGCAAGCCAAAGGAAGGGCTTTTCACAGGGGTAGTGACTTTGGCAGAAATGTCATAGTACTGAAGGGTCTTCTTTCGGTGGAAGACAGTGGATTTTGCCTTAAGTTTCCTGTCCTTAATGTCCACTTTGTTGCCACACAGCACGATGGGTATGTTTTCACATACTCGAACAGATCCCTATGCCACTTAGGCACATTCTTGTAAGTAACCCTTGAGGTTACGTCGAACATTATCACGGCACACTGGGCTTGAATATAGTAGCCATCTCTCAGTCCTCCACAGTTTTCTTGACCAGCTGTATCCCACCCGTTGAGTTTAATAGGTCCTCTGTTAGTATGGAACACAAGGGGCTGGACCTCAACACCTAAGGTAGCTACACACTTCTCAAATTCACCAGTCAGGTGATGGTTCACAAATATCGTTTTTCCAGTACCACCATCACCCACCAGTACGAGTTTGAACTGGACTTGGGGTTCTCCTTGGGCGGCCACCGTGATGGATCTTCCAGAAGCGTCTTTGGGCCGCGTCTGATTGAGGGATTGAGATCCACTTTCAAACGCACTTGGAGAGCAAAGCTTTTACATTGCCTGTCCGTGAGAGAGCTCCAGGGAGGCTGAACATCTGTGGAGATCCAAAATGAATTTCTGGTGCCCTCTGTGAACCGTAGCATTTCGCAGACCTAGCGCTCAGAATTTCACACGCAGACCACCACCACCACCACCCGCCGTCCATTGTCACCCACGGGGCTGTCCACCACGGAGGCCTGTCACTAGCTAGGTCTTTTCTCCCTGCTGCCCACTGGTGGGCTCAAACCTCGGAACCTCTGGTTAGCAGCTGGGTGCTTAAGCGTCACACTGCCATGAATCCCTCCCTTCTGAGCAAACCAAAAGTCACCCTAAATCAAGGTGCGGCCCCGCGTGTGTCGAGTGGAACAGGGATTCTTCACTGGCTGGTCTTTCGGGGTCAGATCACCACGCATGTTTTCCGTGGACCTTTGGGCAGACTTGAACCTCCACCATTGTGGCTACCTGCAGAGCGCACTGACAGCCCACACCAGCCGGAGACTCCACCTGGAGGTCAGGGCCCACCCGGAGTCACCCAGAGGGCTGTGCAGCCAGATTGCTGATCCTCTGGTGGTTGTGAGGGAGGAAAGCCGCTGGGTGGGAGAAGCTACCTCTAACCCAGGTGCTGCCGCCCTGGGAGGAGGCTTTTGGGGAGCTGGACCTGCAGCAGTGAGACTTTTAACTCCCTCCTGTTCCGGGCACATTTTTCCCCCTTTAAGGAGGTGGTATGAAGGTTCTTATGTCTCCAGAAAAACGTTGAAGGAGCGGCTGGGGGGCTGATCCTGCAGCTCAACCCACTGGTGGGTCTCAGAGCCCCATTTTGAAGTGAGCACCTCCTGCCCTGATGTCTGAGCATGGCGTGTGCCATCCCATGTGCTCTTCCCAGTGGGTGGCTGGTGTTTTCAGGGGAGCAGCAATGAGGGGCACCCATACTCCCTGCTGGTGCCAGCCCCTCCTGGTGCCGGTACAGACACCCCCAAACCCCATGGTGCGTCTGGGCAGCCCCGCTCACTGCTGTCACTGGCCTGGGGCGCGTGGTCTATTTGCTGTCATTGAGAGGCATGCCCATGCTCTCCGCTCTCCGCAGAGATGCGGCCAGTCAGAAAACAGTGCCTCTCCTTCCTGCTAGGGCCTTCCTTGTTGCCTTTCTTGGCTGACCTACACAGCATGAGGAATCAGCGTGCTCTCCCTTTAGGTGAACCCCTCACCCTCTCCTATCCACACCTCCCCTCCCACCCCAGAACCTCGGGCAGAGAGCCTGAGTTGGTTTAAAAACAAAAACAAAGCAATTCAAATGCACTGCCCTCACATCGAGTCCGACTCATAGCATGTCTGTAAGACAGGGTCGAACTGTCCCTGTGGGTTCCTGAGAAGGCAGCTCTTCACGGGAGTAGAAAGCCTCTTTCTCTCGTGGAGCAGCTGGTGGTTTCGAACTGCTGACCTTGTGATAGCAGTCCAACACATAACCAAGACACCACCAGGACTCCGCTGGGTTGGTCGGTAGCAATCAAGACAGTTGTTCCCATTGGCTCTGTCTCTTCTCCCTAGTGCTGCTGCGGCAGGAATGCCAGTGGGCGGTCTTAAGGAACAGAGGTGTCTTCTCACAGCTCTGGGGCTGAAAGGCAGGGTCAGGGCAGCACTGTCAGTGCCTTTACCGTCAATAGCTCCGAACCTCTCTCGGCTCTGTGGCCATCCTCATCTGCTCGCTGGCCTTCCGTTGCCCACGCCTCTGGGTCGGATCTGCTGGGTTTGGGACTCACCCTACAATTCTGGTCTCCTTAACATAATGGAGAAAACCCTGTCCCCAAATGGGAATAGATCCATAAGGATAGGAGTTAGGATTCCAACACATTTGGTGGGGACAAAGATTCAATCGTCACAGATCTGAAGTGCCTGGGACCTTCGGGGCCTCTAGTCAAATTACTTCTATGTGTACCTGAGCTTGGGAGGTGGAAAGGGGATGAGGGCCCCGGCCCCCAGGCTTGCCCCCCA